AGTGTGTGTCATTTGATTGTGAGAGTGTGTGTCCTCATTTGATTGTGAGAGTGTGTGTCCTCATTTGATTGTGAGAGTGTGTGTCCTCATTTGATTGTGAGAGTGTGTGTCCTCATTTGACACGAGCAGCATGTCACTCTAAGGCACACTCACCAAGAAGTCTGCCTGCTAATGGAAGTCGACCCGTTCAGGGGTTTCCTGCATGCCCTGCTCGGCTCGTCTCCTCACTCAGACCACTGCTACCCCCGGAGCCCACGCTCAGCCAACTCTTTGCGGTTTCCCTGCGGTTAGGGGTGCCACACCTCCGGCACGGTTCTCAGACCTCCTGCGGCACTCGTGTCTCTCACAAAGCCGGCCCCCGCTGCTGAGGGCTGATGTACAGCTAGGCCCAGACGCGCACACAAGCAGCCGCCTCTCAGTCGGTCTCTGCCGTCTCCATCCCCGTCAGTAATAATCCCCCTCTCAGCTTCCAATGATCACAGTCATATTTCTTTACTTCCAAGAATCACAGTCAAGCCTCTTCCCCACGGCCACCCGCTTAGCCGTCAGTTAAAGTTACTCTGCAGCACCTGCATTGCTGCTATCATGACTGCAGTGTTTGTTTGAAGTTTTTACATTACAAGAAAAACACCATCAAGTAATAAACTTTCTCCCATCCTCATAATTATGGGTGAATCTTTCTTCTGTGACTATATGCATGACTCCCCAGGGAAAATTCTTACAAAGGTGTTTGTCACATCTCCTTGCTCCCACCTGTATCAGCTTAAGTCTCAGCATTCATGTTTGGGGCTCAAACATTCAGGAACTAAATGCTTTAGTCAAAGGCTATTCTAAGAGTTCAGTTTTGACAATCAAAGTAATTAGTTAAATCTGATGCATCTGTGTGCAACTGGAACAAGACTGTACAACACTATAAATACAGGGCTCTGTTCTATAAGCCGTTTATCTTCCCATATAGGTAAGACTCATCCTAGCACGAAATCCTCATATGGAGGTGGTGGCCCTCCCACTCAAGCTACAGAACATGACTTCTTGTTACTATGGAAAGAGCAACAGAGCTCTGCAAAGCCCAAATGGGAAACTGGGAATACTTCCAAATCGCTGTGATGCCACAATAGTCTAGGGATACCTGATTAAATTACTGCACATCAAAGATTTATGGCAACACGTCGATTCGAGTAGTACTACCATGACAGACATAACTCAAATGCTCACCATGTCTGTTGGAAATGCTGCTTAATTTAACATAGCATCTCCAAGGAGCTAGATCGAAAAAAATACAGCAATCTGCAATTCCATGCAAGGCATTACATTCCGTTGTAGACTTTTCTGAGGTTTCATATCTTGTTTGACATTAAGCTATAATGGTAAGAAGAAAATACTGCTTCCACATGTGAATTTAAAGGCCATGCAATAAATAAGCAGATATTTATGAATGGTGAAGTGCATGCTGTATACGTTTCCAAGCTTAAATATACACAGAAAAACTTGGAAACATAACTTGCTCTAGTATACAAATATGTCACGGCATCATTTTCCAAGTTAGTGTGAGTTCCAAACATTAGGGCCCTTTTTACAAAGTGTCATCCTCTGGCCAGCTGTTTGCCAGGTACCGGCAAACACATGTGACGCTGATCTCACCAAGCCACATGCCCGGCTTAACTGTAGTCGCTCCCACTAATTGCTTCCAGCATTAAGTGCAGAAGATCATCCCAAACTCACATGTCAAAACTCCACGCAGAAACAATTACAGTGATTAAGTTGAAGATGTAATTAGACAAGTAACACTGCTGAAAACTTTGGCTCAAACACAACTGAAATGCACGCCTGTTAGAAAGCAGGAATATACTCGATTGAAAACATTTCTGGAGTTTATTCTGTTCTAAGCAAACCACTGTATGATATTATCATTTCAGAATAAGAAGTTACCCTTAAATGAGTCTAAGAAGTGAAATAGGCTTATATGTGTACATTACTATATAATAATGGGTAACACTTTACTTGTGGGGGCACTAATTTAATAGCGCACTCTCACTTAATGCATTAATTAAGCAGAAACTAAGTGTAAGTTACCTTCTGATCCTATGTCTATTCATCATTAATCAATCACAATGGTTTATGTATTTCATGCAGGAAGTACATTAGTTCATGATTTGTTCTTGAGTAGTAACTGAGTAACTAAGTTATTTGTGCCCCCTCAAGTAAAGTATTACATAATGATGTTATGAATTTTGAATGTTTGAAGGAATGCTCCCTAGCAGTGAAGCACAAAGGTCTTTTTACCTTTGTACAGGTTCCTGGGCAGCTGACAGGTATGTCCGCAGCCGTTGGAGCAGCACTTCTTCACTGTGGAGCACTCGTTGTCTTCCTCGCAGCTCTCCACGCATGCAGCCGCAAAACCACTGGCCCTCTCAGGAGCAGGACAGTCACCCTGCTTCAGAGCCTCTACTGACTTCAGGAACTCGCAGCTGGTCAAACACTCATAGTGCTTTTTAGGGAACAAGGGCTGCGGATAGACAGCATGAAGGAAAGTTAGTCAGTTGTTTACCCTTCATGAAGTAGGTGATTACCTTTAAAAGCCCCAACTGGAACTGTCCTCAGTTTGGGTGGTTGTTACTTGACGCTCTGTCTGCCATATTTTCCTTCATGGAATCCTAGCACTTATCGTCGGCACGGTGACGTACCTCGCACAAGTCCTGGCACTGGTTCTCCTTCAGATCCCAGGATTCCTTGCAGGGCTCCAGGCACTGAAAAAAGACATGAGAATAGTGTTGGTAGTTCAGAGGCCAAACCGCATGAAAGAGCAGAACCCCACTGGAGCAGGCACCACCATCTCATCTACCCGGTCCACCTCACTGCCAAGACCCACGTCCAGAGGAGTTTCACTATCCTGGGATGCCAATCCAGAACATACACCACCCCCCCCAAAGTGCACTCTGGCCCTGGGAGAAGGGAAAGAATTACTGAGGAAGGCATGGACACAGGTACCACAAACCGCAGCCTACAGGTTTCCTATTCCAGTGCCCCTTTTATAGAGCTCACCGTCACATCTGGACAGGGCACCAACCTGGCACAGACATCAACATCTGCTCTCCAGTTTCACACACTTGCGTCATGCACAAACAGCCTCGCTGATGAATGATGCTCCCTGTGAATTTCTGGGATTCCCTCTCAGAGCACATGGAACATATTTATTCGATTTGTTGCATGGGCAGTGGATGAAAGAGGGGCTTAAAAACACAACCGTGCCACAAAATTAATAACTGAAGTGTACTTTGGATTATTTAATGAAACATATCATATTTAAACACAGACACGATCCTGAAATCGGTCTACAAAGAGCCAAATCTAACTTCTTCTTGTACATATGACTTAAAGTAGCAAATAATATCATTAAAAACTCCCTGTCAAACCAGGCAAATAATCAGGACCACAGGTGGCTTTCAGAAAAAGAGACGTCCTACTAACATTTCAGTCTGAAAAGAATACCTCTACCTTCAGAAATCAGGATAAACTGTAATATAAAACACAGGGCTACCACGGCAAGCTGCATAATTATACATTTCGGGGTGAACCTCATTCAGAAAATGCCTTTTTAGCTCATAACAACATGCACGTGTTGCGGTCGCTTTGCCTTTTAGAGATAAATGAAGTGCCTTTCACATCATGGGCTCTAACCTGCAGAGAATGACAAGGCTGCTAAATACGTCTGCAATTTTATTATTTGGTGTAACTGATGTCATCTGGGAATGCTTTGGAAATCGTACATCTCACCCGGCCATCTGCGGAGCTGTTCTCCCAAAGCTGTCTGAAGAGATAAATTTCTCACTCTAGCTAGTAAAATAAATGCCAGCTTTAACCACCATCACTTGACCTTAAAACCAGCTCTTAACCTTCTTTCCGAAACTAAACAGTCACATTAATTACCCAGGGTCACCGATCCTCGCAGGTCCTTGTGGTGAATGCAAGATAAACTGATTTAATTTGAAAGGCAATCAGCAATATTACAGCTAATTTCCAGTCATAAATACTTCCCATTATCATTGACATGCGGCACGACTTCTTTTTCTACTGAACTGCTTTGCACTCCAGGTTACCATAATGTAATTAACTAGTGAAGTGTAACCATCTTTTTATTATACATACAATAAGAGCACCAGAAAGCCTCCCTGCAAAAAACAAATGCCTACAAAGAAATCACACACAGCCGCCAAGAGAGGTGGCTCTCGTTATGATGCTTTCATTTCCTCATTAAAATGAGTCATGGTCGTTCCACAGTACTCAGTGAAAGGTGTACTCCTTTTTATGGAGTGTGTGGGAAAGAGCCCACCTCCTGCCAGCCAGTCACAGTCCCTGTGCTTGCCTGCCAGCGTCTCAGTGCAGTGATTCTGGTTGCTCCATTATTGTTTGACCTATCTCAATGCCACAAATGGCTTTGTGATGCGGATGGTTTTATAAGAGTAACAGAGTATTACTTGCAATTGAGGGAAAGACGACTTTTATTTGCAAATGTAATAAAGGAATACGTGACAAAGGTGTAATTGAAGAGTAAATTTCCAAAATTCCTTTTTTGTTGTTGTTGTTTTTTAGATCAGACTGCCAATGAGCTAAAGTCAGGCTTCCTCACTGTATGATACAGAATTGGGAACCAAAACTCACTCAGCCCTCGAGTAAATCCAGCGAAGACCTTAAATCAAATTTCCACAGAAATAGACAGAGTTAGTCTCAGGAATTTGCTCTTCCGTTGCTCCTCACTGAAATTCACTTGAGAAGTATTAATAAAGTATGACATCGTATAAGAGTTTGAGTAAGAAGGGAGTGAGAATGTTGTTTAAGATAATGGCCAACCAGAAACAACCTCCACACTGCTCTGCAACACAGCGCAAAATTACTTTGGTATGATAAGGAAACAGACTCTTAGGTAGCAGTGAATCTTTCTGATCCAACGTGGAGGGCAGTAATCTGCCACCTTGTGTGCTGAAATCCAGAAAATCTGCTTCATTTTATTGCACTAATAAGCCTGCTTTCTGCTCTCGAGTCCCTCCCAAGCAGCTTATACACACAGATGACCCCTAATGAAACTGTTCCAGATGAGCAATGCCTCTCCCTCCCTCAGAAGTCATATAGAAGCTACAAGCCTGGTGGATTCCCTCCACAAATCACTAAACATACACATGTAAGGAACCCAAGAGCTCTACTGAAGAGCCTTAGGTCTCCAGCTAGAGCAAATTCCTACAATACTCACGGGCCCCTTATACCACAAGTCAGGAGGCTTGGGTCCACCTTTTGGCAGCACTGCAGATAATTCTTATGGAATTAAAGGCAAAAAAGTAACACCCTAAATATTTATGGGACTCCATATGTACTACATTATTAAAAATGACTTACAGTCTAACATTTATTCTTATATGCAAAATTAGCATAGCTCTTCCATTTCTCATGATACATCTACTGCAGACACACAGAAAAATGCGATGGAAACCTTTCATTTAAGGGTGTGAATACGTCATGTATGTGAGAAGGCCCCACCAAAGGTGACAGAAGACAATCCATCATTATTTCCAAACTTTTTTTTTTTGGATCTATTGGGGAATCATCTGCAAAAGATCACACCAATGATGTTTCACTTCAGGTCTGGTCCCACCTCCTGATCTCACGTTTGTTTAAATCACAAAGGTGAAAACCTGCACTAGGGAATCCCTTTGTGTGGAAAGTTGTGAACATAGGTCTAGTTAACTAGCTGCTTTAGGCAATGCCTGTTGGCCTTCACATAATTATCAGCATGGGGTGGGTACTTGGGGGCCAATGGAAGATGTGTGGAGAGTGGTTCCTGGAGTAAATTTGCCCATGAGAATGGGGCGCCATCATTATCCAGCCATCATAAAAGCCCACATTTGCAAGAAGGAATGACTGGAACAACGGAAACTATGAATAATGGGAACGAGGCAGAGTAAACAAATACATATGGATGAATGGTGCCCAAGTGTTTCCCTTCACTTTATGAAGCGTGAGGCGCTACCGGTGGAGATCGCCACGGGCGACATAACACAAATAAGGGAGGGAAACACACATGCCTGATGTAATTTGGAAGAAATGCTTTCCCATGCACACCGGACCTATACCTGTAAACATGGCACACAGATGATGGAGAAGGGGCGTGCATGGGGCGTGCATGAGGTATGCATGAGGCGTGCATGGGGTGTGCACGAGGTATGCATGAGGCGTGCATGGGGTGTGCACGAGGTATGCATGAGGCGTGCATGG